GGGTCTGTCCTACTCCTAGAGAACGATTTTTGGACCCCACCTATCAATTTTGGACATGACCACTTATTTTTCAGTAAAATTATTATTATTTATTTTTTATTATTTTAGAGTTATATATAGTGTATAAAGTGATGGTGGGGGTCGATCTAATTAACGAACTTTTACGTAAATCAGGGTGGAGGCCGGGGGGCGTTTTGTCTAAAAGATGGGTGCTTAAAGCTATTAAAGAATTTGAATTATAGTTATTAAACATACTGTTGTTTCATAACTACGATTCCAATTCGGAATGTGTTCGAAATGGAACGGAATAAGTTCTAAAATGGAACGAGATGAAAAACCCAGTCATTCAATGTGTCACTATTTCTAACACTCGATATTAGAACTTGGCCAAAAGCCCGTTTTGGAACTAATAACATCTAAATTGCTAAAATCATTGAATACGCATTTTCAAGTGAACAATTATGACAAAATCTTAGTTGAGCCTTGTGGTTGACCCCGTATAATGTTTAGTAATTAATTTGGATTTGACAATTTTTGTTTTATTTATTACCCAAAGTAAAGCTCGTTAAAAGTATTTTTTCATGGCTTGATTTAAGAACATAGTTAACATTATTTCTTTTGATCACTTTAGTTTTCAGTTTTGTCGAAAATTTAAAAAAGTCGTTAAATCTAAATTTTTTATTTTTATTTTCAGATACAAAGCAGAATGGCTGATTCTAAGTACATTAAAGCCCGAGGCCTTCCCTGGTCCGCCACCGCCGACGAAGTCGTCGAGTTTTTCCATGACAGCCAAGTAGTCGGCGGCAGTGCCGGTGTTCACTTCGTCATGTCAATGGACGGACGACCCTCTGGAACCTGCTACGTAGAAGTATCCTCTCAGGAGGATGTAGACGGAGCTCTAGCGAAAGACAAAGCTAAGATGGGAAAGCGATATATTGAGGTGTTCGAGGCCAGCTACAGGGATGTGCAGGCCGACCTCAACAAGGGTAAAGGTAACAGTGTAGTTGGGGTGGATGATGATGCTGTAGTTAAACTAAGGGGACTACCATTTAGCGCCACTAAATCCGACATTGCGGATTTCTTTCTGGGGCTGGAAATCGAGGAGAATGGGATTATGCTGGTGAACGACTTCCAAGGGAGACCCAAGGGAGAGGGATTTGTCCAATTCACAAAGACCGAATGGGCTGTTAAGGCACTGGATAAAAATAAATGCAACTTGGGGCACAGATACATTGAGGTTTTCCCCTCCACAATGGAGGAAGCAAGATTATCCCAAAACCAAATGGCATATTCGGGGCCCATGAGAGGAGGGAGACCCGGAGGACCAATGAGGGGAGGTATGGGAATGCGACCAGGACCCTATGATAGAATGGGAGGTTACGGGGGAGGTATGGGAGGTGGACGAGGAGGTTACAGCGGAGGAATGCGCGGAGGATACGGTGGCTACGGAGGATATGGAGGAGGAATGGGAATGGGAGGCATGGGAGGAGGAATGGGTGGAGGCATGGGTATGGGAATGGGTGGCGGTATGGGAGGTGGTATGGGAGGACCCATGGGTGGCGGTGGGCGTGGGGGTAGAAGCATCAAAATGCGGGGACTTCCATTCCGTGTTACCGAACAGGAAATTGCCGAGTGGTTCAGCTCAGTGGCTGACCCCGTCGATATTTATATCAAGTACAACAGCGAGGGTCGTCCGAGTGGGGAAGCGGAGGTTACTTTCGGCTCAGACTCCGACGCGAAAAGAGCGATGCAGAAAGATAAACAAAATATGCAGCATCGATACATTGAACTCTTCTTGGAGTAAAATCAAGGGATTCTGGGGACAAGGATAAACCGGGATCTTGAGCCAACTTTCAGGTTCATCATTCTACTTTCCGGGAGCCGCGGGGCCTTTAAACCGGGTTCTAGGACTTTCCCCCTGGGAACTGGGACCTTGATCATCTTTAAAGGGAACAGGGAACGGGACCTTCATCTTGGAACTGGGACCTGGGAACAAGGATCTGGGACCTACTTAATGGGACCTGGGAACCGGGACCTATCGTATTATGGTTTACATATTTTTAAGCATTAATTTTTTTTCTGTTCACATCATTATTTTTTAAGCTGCTTTATCTCCGAACGTGTTGTAAATTTCTCAGACGAATTAAAACTGAATTTATTTGAGAACTGTCTTTTCCAGAAGAATGAGTTGTTAAAGATGGAGGATCAGGTTGAGACGCAGGATGAGCAGGGGTTCTGGAGCAGAGCACAGAAACCTCTTCCTGTTCAGAGGATTCTCAAGGAGACAGGACAGAATAGACGGAACAAACCTACAATCAAGGTTGCTTCCTCCTCTCCGAAACAGTCCATGCATGATAAGGAAAACGTTCAAGTTCTAACCAAGATAGCGGAGAAGAGGTTAGCCAATAACAACACAGTTTGCGTTTTTTATCCCCCCCCCCCCCTTCATATTTCTTAACCTATTTTTCCAGGTTAGGGTAGGCTAATGTAGACACTAGACAGAATATAGTCATGCGAGGTTTCAAAGAGATATGAGAAGGAAGGGGGGGGGGGGGTCCAAATCATCTACGCGCCAAGCAATCCTTAAATATAAAATACAGATTCTTCAAATTGATTTTTAATTTTAACTCTAAATTTTTTTTAATATGTTTTTCTTTAAGATTGGTGTCTCTGAGCTCCCGAAACATGAGTAAGGAATTGTGTGAGACCAGTGATTGGGTGGTTCAAGAAGCCTTATCCAGTACACTTGCAGTACAGCAGGTCAGTACAAACCTATTTATCCAGTACACTTGAAGTACAGCAGGTCTGTTTAAACCTATACATTTAGTACACTTACAGTACAGCAGGTCAGTACAAACCTGTATATCCAGTACACTTGCACTACAGCAGGTTGGTACAAACTTTTCAATTCAGTACACTTGCAGTATAGTATAAATGTAACTGTAAATATATGACTATTTTGGTGATTTTAAACCGTCCTTTATCTAAAGACATTTTAAAGTACTTAGGAGAAAGTTTACTTGTCCTTGTATTTTTAGAAATGTTACGCTTTCCAGAGAGATTATACCGTTCTTATATTTAGAGACATGTTGAGTACTTCAGAGGGATTAAACCGTCCTTGTATTTACAGATATGCTCGAGTACTTCGGAGAGATAAAACCATCCTTGTATTTTTAGACATGTTAAGCTCTCAAAAGAGATTAAACTGTGCTTGTATTTATAGACATGTTTAATACTCCGGAGAGATTAAACCTTCCTTGTGATTGTAGGCATACTTTAGTACTCCGCAGAAATTAAACCACCCTTGTATTTTTAGACATGTTAAGCTCTCAAAAGAGATTAAACCGTCCTTGTATTTTTAGACATGCTTTAGTACTTCGCAGAGATTAAACTGCCCTTGCTTATATTGACAAGTTGAGAAAACCACAGAGAATAAACCTTCCTTGTATTTATAGACATCCTTGCAACTTGAGTACTGCAAAGAGATAAAACCGTCATTCTATTTACAGAAATGTTTAATACTTCGTAGGGATTAAACCGTTTTTGTATTTTTAGACATGTGTAATACTCCATAGAGATTAAACCGTGCTTGTATTTTTAGTCATGCTTGAGTACTCCAGAGAGATTAAAACCGTCCCTATTCTCTGCATCCAATCTTAGGCAGAACACCATTTTATAAATTTTCAAACTTTTAAATTGTTCCTACATATAAATAGCCTACTTATTTGTCTCGCAGTTCTTCATAGCCGTGTTGGGGATAAGTTTCTTACGATGGTTGCAAAACCCTTTGGTTCAGTAGATGTAGGGGGGCAATATTTAACCGTTTCTTGATCTAAAATTGAGATTCCGTTAAGCTTTTCATATTGCTAATAAAATAATTTGGTTTTGAATTTAGTTGCATCAGCTTACTAGTCAATGCATCAAATTCACCTCAGGTAATTTTTCTCCATGTTCTCCTTTAGTTCCAATAAATTATCTTATTTTCTCCATGTTCTCCTTCAGTTCCAATAAATTATCTTATTTTTTCCTTATGTTCTTCTTCAGTTCCAATCAATTATATTATTTTTTCCTTATGTTCTTCTTCAGTTCCAATCAATTATCTTATTTTTTCTTAATGTTCTCCTTCAGTTCCAATCCCAATCAATTATCTTATTTAATCGTTTTCTCCATGTTCTCCTTCAGTTCCAATAAATTATCTTAGTTAACGGTTAAAATTTTAGGCCAATATTATTAGTTTTTCTCTTTTTTAAGGATTGTAACTTAAAAACACCAAATAGAAGAGAAGGTTTAGTTAATTCTGGTGTTTTCAGCACCCCTAGTACAGGTAAAATTTCTATACTTTACAACCCGACCAAAAAATATCATTAACTAAGTACCTCATAATAGACACTAGAACATTAATATCTTCAAGAAGCAAAACTTATCAGAAAACTGGAATGAATTTATTATTACGCAATGCGAAGCGACCTGAAATTTCAGATTTAATGAATTGTTTTAAAGTTTCATAATCACTGTTTTCAGGAACATCTTGCAGTAAAACCCCGAGCTCAATTCGGACACCAAACACAGACTCAAGCGGTCACTCTGGTATTCGATACAATCCGTTTGATAATCATCAAACCTATGATTCCCTGAAGCTCCCAACCTTGTCTCCGAGCGTGTTTAACGTCGTCCTCTCCCCGTCTAGCGAGGATACTGTAAACGGAAGGTTCTGGAGCATAGAACAGCAAGCAGACCTGTATCCAACTTCAATATCGGACGATTCTCCGTTAAAACAATCAATCCGCCATAAAAACTATCGAGAGGAGTTGGGATCTAAGGCCCAGGAACAGATAGAAATATATTTTCAAAACTATCATGATATCACCTCCCCTCCAGAACTTGCTCCCACCGGACCTTTATTGATAGAAAGCCCGGACGCGTCCTACACCCATCCGGAGTCAGGGAACTCGTCTAAATGGACCCAGACCTGTATCACTCTCCCCCCTGTTCTACCTCCCCAGGTGGAGCAGGTTCTGCGACAGTTTAATTTTATCACGGATATATCCGAGGAACCAAACAATCTGTCCAACTCAACATTGCGCCGTAAACTGTTTAATGTTGATATGCTGAGCGATGAGTCCCAACACCAGTCTTCCTCAGAGGAGGAGGAGGAGGATTCTCCCTGCAAGTTGATGACTCCAGGAAAAGTCCTAAGAACCCCTGTCACTTCTAAAAGTACTAATAGCGCTCAATGGAGTAGTTCTCCTTTGAGAACCCGACTCCGAACCTCGTTCTCCTCTGCGGATCTCCACTCTCCAATGTTCTCTCCAATAGCGAAGGATCGTGCCTCCCGGAGCCTGAATCAGTCCGATGATGAGGACCTTGAACCTGAACCTTGTAATAAGCGAGAGTCCACGGGTAAGATTTCTTCTGTCTCTTTTCGTAATTTTTATTTTAAAAGATCCAATAATTTGCAAAAAGTTAATGTTAGCGTAAAAGGTCTCGTATGAAATAAGCATTGATCTTTTAATGAACCAATGGGTTTATCTTCATACATTTCAGAATTTAAAAAGATATTTTTTCATCTCCTTCTCACTTGTCTTCCAAAAATCTGTTCACTGATCTCAATCAGTACCAAGGGTGTAATGCAAGGAAAGTTAATTGCAGTTGCGTATACTCTGTGTACATATTGAAACCAGTTCTCTTTGGGCGGAATTTGTAAACAAGAATAGATGCATCAGTGTTCGTTTAGTATCCGAGGAGTTTAAAAGCATTAAATTTGATAATTTTGATAATTCACATAATAGTTTTCTATGACCAGAATATTTCATTGATTTTTTTATGTGATGGATCCCATGTCAGGCTGTAACATCCATCTTGTGTTTTCATTACCGCCCAGAGACAGTACACTGCAGAACAAAAGATGCGTACACTTTTGAAATAACTTTCTTTGCATTACATCTTTGAATCAGCATACATTCAGTGCTAAAAAAAGAGTGAACAAAAAACTGGAATCCTTGAAAAAAAAATTGTAGTTTCAGGTTTGGACCGAAGTGAGATGTTCAAAACTGCTGAACTCCTGGTGTTCTCCGAACCTGATGATGAGCAAGATATTGTGGTGGATGAGACTAGATTTTACATGGATACAGATAGTAATAGTGGAGTAGGTTGGGGTCTAACCCTACCTAGTCTAGCAGAGGATAGTAATATAAATACAGAGAGTAGAGTAGATACAGGATATACAACCAGTACAATATCTTCAATTCATCCTTCAAACCTTCAGGTAGGAAAGGGACTGGACACGTAATTTAAAGTGACCCTCCTTCTTCGTCTACTAAAAATCAGAAATTCCGAAACTTGTGTTTTTCTACTTAAAAGTTCATTTTTTCAATGGCGGTTTCTTTATAATAAAGCTGTCCAAACAGCTGGACCCAATTGGTGAAATTTTTTTTAAGAGGAACCCATGAGTATTGAGTAATACGGTAGTAACAAAGGCTGAACAAAATTAAAAAATTTTTCGTGTTTTTAAATTCCACGGGCAACGTCGGGAACTTTAGCTTGTTTAATTTAATAGCTTACAAAACCCGAATTCTTAAAACTAATTCAATTATATTACATGATTTTTTAAATTCAACCAAAATAATGTTTTCATTGATCAAACATAGGTTGAAATACTTTTTTATAATCCTAAACTTTTTATAAATATTTTATATTTTTGATTCAGGAATCTTCGGTTAACCCTTCTCTGCTGAATATGGATAGTGGTATGTCGACTAGTCAACAACCAGACCTGACCGTCAGTCTCATTCTTCCCCAGCATCAACCACAGTTATTTAATCCGGGATTTAATCCGCCAGCTAATCCCGTTCTCATGTCATACGCAGCAGAAGCTACCAACGATATATCAGTAGGATTCCCTTTAGGTTCGTCAACACCCACTAGACGGTAGATCAATACCCGACGTACCCTACTCATTCAAATATATATATATGGGTTAAAAATAGACCTGATAACATGTTAAATATACTATTTTATATGGACGACATTTTGAGTTATAAAATACAAAAGGTTCAGAAAAGCTCATATTTTCAAATATTCATTCCTTGAGTAAAAACTCCTTAAGAATTGAAACGATAAATTATCAGTCAATTCATTTTCCGGGAGATTTTATGTACGCAAGAATCTACGCCACGTCCTTGGTTTGTTTTTTGATATTTTGCAGGAAAATTCATACTGTTTGGGAATGTGATAGATGAAACTTTTACGCTTTATGAATTAATTTAGTTATTTTAAATTTTTAAGAAATCAACTCTTTTGTTCCTTTTTCATGCTTGAACTATGCTTTAGAAGTGTTAAATAGGCCTTAAATTATGATGCTAACTAAAAATGTTCGTTTTATCAATGATTTATTAGTACTGTTTTATTCTTCCAAAGGGAAAATTACTTATTTTGCTTAGGATCCATTTCACTTTGGTGCAAATCTGGATCTTGGAACCCTTCAGAGATAAGGAAATTTTTTATTAATCTCTCCTTTGTTAACAATTTTTGATTTGTGTTTTAAGAGGAAAACTTGGTTTTGGTTGATATTTGTCTTGGATCCGGATCCGTTGTTGCGGACCCACGTATCTGGATCCTAAGCACTGGTTTTAATGTATGCATGTATGTAAATTCTAAAGCTTTCAAGATGAAGATTGAAGATACATGCTGTATATAGATAGTTAGATATTGTGACCTTTTCTACAAATGTAATAGTAAATTTTGTTTGTTTATTAACGCTAAACATATTAACATTTATTTAACTTAATGTATTTTGATAATCATGACCCTTTTCATTTTCCAGTACAAAATTACATTTTTCTGATGAAATAAAAACTTATGAATATATTTTTGTAATTTCTCTTTATAATATTTTTCAGAAGATATGTATATAACGGGTGTCTGTCAGAGCTTATCAGATTCTTCCTTATTATAGAAATTTTTGAAAAACTTAGCTTTGGTCTTCCTTGCTGATTGGTTAACGAAAATAATGCAACTGAAACCTATTAAAACTATGTTATGTATCAACCAGATTGCTAGTATTGATGATGCGAATAATAACTTATTATGGACTCAGCTTCGAAGTGACAACTATGTTAACATACGTGATGGTAACAAGTAATTAATCTGGACATTACAAAAAGGGTTCGTGCAAAATACATGATCAAAATGAGAGAAGAGACATTCTGGTCTTGGCTCCGAACTGTCAGATTATCAAGGAATAGTTTAAATTAACTAAGAAAGGAAGGTTTTTCAAATCCTAGGACTAAAAAGAGTAATGGTTTTCCTAACTTATGATGAATAGGATTATAGTATCTTCCAACTTATGACGAATAAGAGTAAGGTTTCTCCTAATCTGACTAATAAAGTTAGGTTTCTCCTGACCTATGACCAAGAAGAGTAAGGTTTCTTCTAACCTATGACCAAGAAGAGTAAGGTTTCTCCTAACCTATGACGAATAAAGTTAGGTTTCTCCTGACCTATGACCAAGAAGAGTCAAGTTTCTCCTAACTTATGACTAATAAAAGCACAGTTCCTCCTAACTTATGACGAATAAGAGTAAGGTGTCTCCAAACTTATGATAAATAAAAGTAAGGGTTTTCTCTTCTTACGACGAATAAGAGTAAAGTTTCTCCTTATTCATGATAAATAAGAGCAATATTTCTCCTAACTTATGATGAATAAGAGCAAGATTTCTCCTAACTTATGATGAATAGGAGCAAGATTTCTCCTAACTTATGATGAATAAGAGTAAGATTTCTCCTAACTTATGATGAATAAGAGTAAGGTTTCTCCTAACTTATGACGAATAAGAGTAAGATTTCTCCTAACTTATGATGAATAAGAGCAAGGTTTCTTCTAACTTTGTATGAATAAGAGTAAGGTTTCTCCGAACTTAGGATGAATAAAAGTAAAGTTTCTCCTTATTCATGACGAATAAGAGTAAGATTTCTCCTAACTTATGATGAATAAGAGTAAGGTTTCTCCGAAATTTTGATAATAAGAGTAAGGTTTAAACTTAAAATAAATAATAGGAAGGTTTCTCCTAACTTATGATGAATAAACGTAAGGTTTCTCATAACTTATGATGAATAAGAGTAAGGTTTCTCCTAACTTTTGACGAATTAGACTAAGGTTTCTCATAAGATTTTGACGAATATATTAAGGTTTCTCCTAATTTTTGACAATTAAAGAGTAAGGTTTCTCATAACTTCTGACAAATGGGAATAAGGTTTCCCCTTATATATGAAGAATTAGAGTAAGGTTACTCCATACTTTTGATGAAAATGATGAAACAAGGGTTTCTTTAACTTTAATAAGACGAACCGAAGCAATGTTTCTCCTGAACTCATGAAGAACATGAAAAGGTTTCCCTAACTGAATAATACGAACAGTAACAAAGTTACTCCTAACTTATGAACAGGAGAACGCTTTCTCTAAAATTGAAAGGACGAAAAGACAGGGTTTTCCTTACTTACAAATACGTAAAGGAACAAGGTTTCCTTATCTTATGCCAAACAAAAGTAATAGTCTCTAACAACTAAAAAGACGAACGTTATTAAGGATTCTTTAACATGTAATGAAAAGAAACGATCAAACAATCGTTTGCACTTGGTTCTTTGTATGTTAAATTTTAAACTAATCCTTCCAGACTGATCTGCGTTTTTGTTCCTTGCTTCATCTTTGCTCCCATCCTAACCTACTGGTGGCTTACAACCTCATTACAGGCAATTTTACACTTAAATTTAAAACAAAGGGAAGTGGATAGGGAGGGAAGTGGATAGGTAGGGGAGTTGAAAGGTAGAGAAGAGAAAGGTTGGGAAGGGACGGGTTGGGAATGGAAAGGTTGGGAAGGGAAATGTTGGGAAGGGAATGGAAAAGTTGGGAAGGAAATGGTTGGGAAGGGAAAGGTCGGGAAGGGAAAGGTTGGGAAAGGAAAAGTAGGAATGGGAAGGGTAGGGAAGGGAAGTTTGGGAAGGGAAAGGTTTGGGAAGGAATTAGGTAGTGAAGGGATTGGTTGGGAAGGGAAAGGTTGGGACGGGAATGGTTGGGAAGGGAAAGGTTGGGAAGGGAAAGGTTGGGAAGGGAAAGGTTGGGAAGGGAAAGGTTTGTGAAGTGAAAGGTTGGGAATGGTAAAGTTGGGAAGGGAAAGGTTGGGAATGGTGAAGTTGGGAAGGGAAAGGTTGGGAATGGTAAAGTTGGGATGGGAAAGGTTGGGAATGGTAAAGTTGGGAAGGGAAAGGTATTTTATTTTATTTTATTTCCAAAAAGTTATGTACTAGTTACTAAATCAGTTTTTCGACCCTTACTTTTTCTGTTTAGACTAGTTCTGTTGTTGACCGAGACTCCGCTGATGTAGCCAGGTAAGGAAAAGTTTGCTCGATTTATCCATTTTTTTTCAAATCTAACCTTTTGGTTAATTACTGCTGAGCTATGATATACGATTATTGATTTGTATAATTACAAAGTTAATCGTCGAATAAATTTGATTAATTGATTTTAACATATAATATTTAGATTGGTAAATATAGGATAAGCTGTTTGATTAATATATCAGAAAATGTCTTTGTTAAAATAAAGTGGATTAATTGATTGGTAAATATATTTGATTGGTTGCTTGTTATTATATTTGATTAGTTGATTGGTAAATTTTTGATTAATTGATTGTTAAATATATTTGATTAGTTGATTAATAAATTTATTTGATTAATGAATTTGTAAATAAATAATTAGTAAATGGATGATTATATCTTCACAAGTTAATCGTCGAATAAATTTGATTGATTGATTTTAACATATAATTGTTGATTTGCAAGTAAATGATTAGTTGATTAGTGAAGAAACATTTTAAAAAAAGGATCGTAGATGCGTATTAATATTCTAATATTTTTTTATTAATTCCTATTTATTTTTAATTTTATTTATATCTAGAAAAGTTCTCGGTCTCATAGATTTTGACCATTTATCTGGACCAGAGCTAAAAAACAGGTAAACGTGTTTTATAAACTTTAGATGAATCAGCTTTTTATTCGCTTCTAAAAGAGATTTGCCATCATATATATTATGTCAAAAATGACGTAGATGTTTCAACCTAGAGTGATAGTTGGGTTGAAAAAAGTATATCAATATCAAGAATATGATATCAATGAATTCATATTTTTGTTTTTTTTTCTGGTTGGATGGTTAATTATTCAACATTTCTACTTTCTAGAATTGACGAGTTGTTGAGAATCAAAGGATCTGTTCAAGCAGAACTTCAGAATCTAGGTGGGTTCAAATTTCGATTTTTGGAAAACATTTTCCTGGAAAAGTGTTTCTCTAAAATTTAGATGCAGGATTTTTTGAGGGGTTGTGTTACGATGAACATCTTGAATTTACAATTAAAAGGAGTTCAGTTTTTGCAACAAACTCTGATTTTTTAATCACTATATCTTTTTATCCCAATGTCGTAGACCTTTAATATTTTAAACTATGAATTCTGTTAGATCAAATAATATATGCTTAAAATATCAAAGGTTTACACAATCCAGTTACAGAGATATAGGGATTAGAAAATTGAAGTTTGTGTCAATAACTCAATTCCTTTGTCTGTATTTTCAGTGCTGTGATAATAGTTTGATTAAACCTACTCAACGAGACTGACGGCAAACTTTTGAAGTAACACCGTTATTTATTGAGTTACCAGATTCACGACGGCAATAATGAGGAAAATAACGTTTTATCTTGAAAAGTAATTTGTCAATTTCTTATTATGTGTGCAAGTCATTTTATAGGTTTACCCGCAATAAAACCAAGAAATCTTAAATATTTTTGGTCAGACAGAGGTTTAAAAGGTACCGGCGTTGTGGATCTTGGGATTTAATATTGCTTATAAATATTGTTGTATTTAGAGATAAATATCGCTTATAAATATTGTTGAATTTAGAGATAAATATTGCTTATAAATATTGTTGAATTTAGAGATAAATATTGCTTATAAATATTGTTGAATTGAGAGAAAAATATTGCTTTTAAATATTGTTGTATTTAGAGAAGAAACGACAGGTTATGTTGACGGACTTGTCCGACCTGACCAGAACTATCGAGGGGTTGAAGGCGGAGGCCAGCAAGGAGATCAAGGAGCTCGACAAACTCAGAGCTTCTATTCAACAGACTAGACTCTCACAGATTGATCTTATTCAGAGAAACACCCCGGAGATCAAACCTCCGCTGCCCATTATTCCGTCGGAGAAAAGTTTTAAGATTATAAAACCTGGGAACTCCGATGAGGTTTGTGATCTTGAGACTTGTTTTGATTACTCCAGATGTTCTCTCACCTCCGGAGTCAGGATTCATTTCTACGATTCTAAATCTCAAGGAACAATATTTAAAAAACAAATAAATAAATTTTCTCTTAATTTCCTTTCAAAATCTTTGATCACAGAATTAAAATAATTTTGCGCATTTCAAAATAAAATTTTTGAAAAAGTCTAAATAAATGTGACAATAATGTACTTTTTCTATGTTTGATAAATGTTGAATTTGTAGACAAATTCTGTTTGAAAATTACATCAATTCTAACAGGCTCTAGTTCCCTTGTTAAGAGTCCCGACACGGCGTGTTTATATCTACACATGTATAATCCTGCACAGTCCCTTTCCCATCACAGATCTCTCTCTCATTGGCAAGGGGACGGGAGGAACCATATCATTCTTAACCTAGATCAGAAACCTTTAGATCCGGTACATACAGACCGAGCAATGATTGCTCAGCCAACCTTTTCCAGGGGCATGTACAGACCTGGCTTCGATATTGTGCTACCGGAGATGGTTGATGAGACCCGTCCTGTGTGGATGCTTTATCCAAACATGGTTCCGATCACGCGGAAATATCTATTATCTTTTAAAGGAGAACTTAATTTAGAAACCAGTTCAACGATTGATCCGTTAACAAAGAAAATAATACAAATATTAAAAAGTATTCAGACCGAAGACAAAACTCAGGACGAGTTTCTTCTCTCCTTTTCTTGTAAAACCCGAAGTTTCGAAGTTTCGGACCAAGACTGGTATCTCTGTGACGATGAAGACCGGAGAAATGAAGTCCTAGAGAAATCTACTTTTAACCTTATAATTGTTCCGACTGAAGAGGAAACTCTGAACTCACGAGCCCTAAACCGTAGACTGTACGAGGCCCTCCGCTCCGGAAATATCCCTGTTATCCTGGGAGCAAACCTAGTTCTACCCTTCTCCGAGGTTGTAGATTGGAGCAGGTTCTCCCTGGTTCTCCCTAGATCCAGGATTACGGAACTACACTATCTTCTCCGAACCTTCACATACTCGGATATATTCAAAATGAAGCGACAGGAACGTTTCTTATCCATTTAAATATAAATACGGTATTTTTAGCATTTTTTATTACCTCATACCTTATCGAGTAAATGAGTAATAAGGTAGACTTGTATTACTTCTTCGGTTACCGACCAGTTCGAGAAAACAAATTAATAATGAAACGTTCTAGGGGCGATTAGTTTTTGAGAACTATTTCTCAAGTACAGATGTGGTGCTGAGCACCCTGATTGGACTGGTTCAAACTAGACTCCAGCTTCCACCAACACAAGTCTTAGATTCGTTCTCGCCTTCAGTATTTAATTCTAGGTGGAGATGTTTTATAAAGCGAGTTCTGAATAGATGGATATTTTACTATTTTCGTAGGGGCTTAAAACAACTCTCAGGGAAATAGAACTATCCAAAACAACCCTTTTTCATTTTAGGGGGGAGGGAGGGAGGGCATATGTTTTCTCGGAAGTAGAATATACAAACTTAACTTAAAATTTACATCTATATTATATCAGCTGATACAAACTTAACTTAAAATTTACATCTATATTATATCAGCTGATACAAACTGCAAGGACATACTTAATTATATGGGAGGAGGATGTACTGTAATCTGAAATATTAAATGGGTTCCCTGAAAGTTCGATATTATTTGATTTTGAGGAACAGGGGCGTCATAAGACCTACACATGTGATATTTTGCTCTGTTTTTGCCACGATTTAACAACTCAATTTTAGTTTCCGTCCTCTACTGATGGATTCTCTTCCACCTGATGTAGAGCCTGACGAGAGCCTCGGACCTCTGGAGGCTCCTTTCCCCTCCCCTGACTTCAGGTAAACATTGAGGCAGAAAGTCTCGATTTCAAAAGCATTCGAGTTTAATAAGGATAATTTTAATATTATTTTTTAGTAAAAACAAAATAATTTTTTAATAACTTTTGAAATAAAAATTATTTAGGCGAAACTTCTCCTCTGTGTTCAGTGAACGTTGGGGAAACTGGAATTCAAGGTGATTTTTTACATTTTTTCATGAATATTTCAGGATATTCAAGGTTGCAATGTGAAACTTTTTTAAGATTAATATTTTTTTTCAAAATATATGACCAGAGCTGGGAACTTTTGAATGATGGTTATCGGGATTAGGGCTTAATCCACTCTTTTTCCTAATCTCGAGATTAAATAATGCTTGTTCTCTTGTTATTAATCTCCAGATTAATTAACCGATCGGGATTAAGGATATCCCATTCTAAAGTTTTCAGCTCTGGGAACTCTTGTGTTTTGGATATCAAGATCAAGCATTGATCTCGATCTTTTGTTAATCTGCAGATTAATTTAATTTTTTATGCAATATCCCGCAGTGTATTTGTACCCTGAAGAGAAAGATTATTCAGATTTAGCATTAATCAAATTTAAAGTGCCCACTCTGAATATCGAGATCAAGCGATCGGTTTGATGAGTATCCGACGCAAAAGTTCCCAGCTCTGATCATTTTAGTTAAATCTTATTCTCTATTTTAGATTCCAGGCTTTAACCCTGTTCCCTCACACCCCTTGGGAACCTATCCTGCCAACTGAGGCTAAGTTCCTTGGATCCTCTACAGGGTTCCGTCCTATCTCCGGGGGGGAGGGAGGATCAGGGAAGGAGTTTAGTCAGGCTCTAGGTGGGAACTATCCACAGGAGCAGTTTACTGTTGTTATGCTGACATATGAGAGAGAAACTGTGCTCATGAGTTCGCTGTCTAGATTGTACGGTCTTCCATACTTAAACAAGGTGAGATTATGGATTCATTCATTCGTTAAAAACGAACATTCATTGATGTCATTGATTTGTCCTTTCATCTATAAATGAATTAATTTGTTCTATCATTGATTGGTTCATTGATTCATTGATTCCTTCATTCATTTTTTGGTTTGATGATTGATTGATTGATTGATTGATTTATTGATTGATTTTAAAAATAGTTTTCTTGCATTTTGAAAATTTATGACTCACTGCATGAGTGTTTGAAAAAAAATTTTAATATTGGAAAATAGAAAATGATTAGTTTTGAACTAGAAAATAAGAATATTAAATCCTAGGTGGTTGTTGTCTGGAACAGTCCTAAACCACCACATCAAGATCTTAGGTAAAAAAAAAAACAAAAAAGATAATAAAATGCATTTTTCAAATTTTTTGGCTAAAATTTCAAAATGAAAACCTTCTTAGTTAAAAGAATCAAAATTGTTCATAAGCAATTTTTTACCTTGAAAGAAATTCTATTTCAGATGGCCAGATATAGGAGTACCTATTCATGTTGTGAAAGTTGAGAAGAATAGTTTAAACAATAGATTCCTTCCCTTCTCTGCTATAGAAACTGAAGCTATCCTCAGGGAACCATTCTCAACAAATATTAAAGAATGTGTTTGTTAATTGTGTTTAAGATTTCGAACCATATTTTCTAGAGGGGGTAGAATAGATAATTGAGAATAAAAATAAATAATTGAGAACAAAAATAGATAATTGAGAATAGAAATAAATAATTAAGGATAAAAATAGATAATTAAAAATAAAAATAAATAATAAAGAATAAAAATAGGTAATTGAGAATAAAAATTGATAATTAAGAATAAAGATAGATGATTAAGAATAAAAATAGACAATTGAGAATAGAAATAGATAATTGAGATTTAAAAATAGATAATTGAGAATTAAAAATAAATAATTGAGAAAAAAAAATAATAATTGAGAATAAAAATAGATAATTAAGAATGAAAATAGATAATAGAGAAAAAAAATTGATAATTAAGAAAAAATTAGATAATAAAGAATAAAAATCGATAATTAAGAATAAAATTAGATAATTAAGAATAAAAATAGATAATTGAGAATAAAAATAGATAATTGAGAATAAAAATAGATAATTAATTGAGAATTAAAAATAGATAATTGAGAATAAAAATAGATAATTAAGAAAGAAAATGGATAATTAATATAGAATTAAAAATAGATAATTGAAAATGAAAAAAGATTATTGAAAATGAAAAAAGATAATTGAGAATAAAAATAGATAATTAAGAATGAAAATAGATAATTAATTGAGAATTAAAAATAAATAATTGAAAATGAAAAAAGATAATTGAGAATAAAAATTGATAATTAAGAACAAAAATGAAGACCGGCAAGTTTTCAAATATCTAGAGTATCTGAGATAATATCAAAGAATTTTTAAGTGACCCTCCATAAACGAATCACGGTCTTGCAACTTTTTGAAACTGGGAACATTTTGGGGGTTTTTTGGCCTGACTAAACGGAGTTTTTTAATATCGCCGCAGTTGTAAAATGTCAATTTTTCAAAAGTTTTGTGAGAAATTTATATATTCTAAATGGTATTCTTTAATTACATTGCTTTTGATAATTTCGTTAGGAAACAAATTAACTCAAAAAATATAAACATCGAGTAGAAAAACTTAACTTGTGAAAAATAGATTTTAAAAACCTAATTTAATATCTTAGATTGGTTGGGTTCCCTGGTAGGTTCCATTCCTGGGACGGAAATCATAGTTCCTGGAACTATAATTCTAATTATAGCTGTGAGCTATCCATGGTTCTAACAGGAGCTGCGTTCCATCATAAATATTATAGTTACCTTTACTCACAACAGATGCCACAGGCAATCAGGTATTTCTTTAACGAAGCGTAATTACTCATTAAAATAATTCCATTAAAGGGACTAGAAGCAATTTTAAGTGACCCTTCATTAGAAAGAAAGTAGCATGTCCGATTTACAACGGTACCGTAGTAAGTCGGTCATGCCCACTTTAAATGAATAGTCATTTGAAATTACAACGATCTCAGCTAACCTAGGACACTCTATTCAAATATAAGTAATACCATGCGACGTAAAAACAAATGCGTCATAAAACTGCAATTATAAACAATTTTATTGCTCATAACAAACTTAAATTCTTTAATAATTCAAAAATATTTGGCAAATGCAATAATGCCTTTTCTAAATTTTAGATTTCTCACAAAAATTTAAATTTTACACTTACAAGCAGTTACGCTTAAAGAGCGCATTTTTACGCTATTTGTATGCCTGAAATTAAATTATCTCCAAAATTTTTTTGTTATTTTTACAAAAAGCATTACAGCTTTATAGATTTTTATTTTAGTTATTATAAAAAATAAAAAGTTATTTTAAAAATGGAGGTCTACGTATTTTTTACGCATTTTTAAGGCAATATACATTAACTCATGGGGGAGGGGGTGGTCTACTATGGAAAAAGAACTGGGAAATGTCTGAACATTATGGCGCATTCTCATTGGATTTGCTACATAGCCAAATTTGCAATAATAATAGTATATAATGCGTAGGAAGAAAGTGTAATAATCAAAATTATTGTTATAATATTGAAAGAAAACCCGTGAAATAGTTTTGATTATTCACCGAAAGGCGCAGCCTGAGGTTAATGAATTAACATTAGATTTAGTTTCTAGAATTAAATAGCTAATCTATCTATCTATCAATTTCCCGTGAATAATTCTTATTATTCATTAAATTCGAACACTGGTCACTGGGTGTGAATAATAAGAATTATTGCTGATTTGGCTATGTAGTAAATCCGATAAGAATGTGGAATAATTCTGGATATTGTACGGCTTATATATGTATCTATCAATCTTGAAGGTGATTACACTTTCTTCCTACGCATATCTATAACTACTTCCTAGGGATATGGTGGATGATCTAGTGAACTGTGAAGATCTAGCGATGAATTTCTTAATTTCTCACGTAACCCGACAACCTCCTGTTAAAGTAACTTCAAGGTGAGCAACGGTTAGAATGGGTTATCTACAGTGCTAAGGCAACATTTCGGCTTCCTGGATCCGGATCCAAAATTGTAAAAAAAAACTTTTGTTCGTAAAGCAAAACTGTTGAAAAGTGGGATATTATTAAAAAAATCCTTTTTATAAAATATTTAAGTTTTAGCATGAAAATAAGCGAAAAAAAAGAAGAAAAACCTTGAGAGTTCTTGTTTGTTAAAAAAATTGGTGAAACTTAAAGAAATGTTGATGGCCCGGATCCGTATCCGTATCAGTATCTTGATCAAGGATCCAGACACGGATGTGCATCAAAATTAAATGGATCCTGAGCAATGGACTCTTAAAGATCATTCACAAAATAATGCCATGTCACGACACCACAATGTCGAGTTTTAATTCGATTGTCTTCATAGGAGAAAGGTTCAGGGAAGGTTTTCTATAATTCTGATATTTTTAAAAACTTTTAGATGGACGTTCAGATGCCCTGGATGTCCTGTATCATTATCTGAAGATGATTCACATTTTCAGGTCAGTAAGACATTAGACATTTTCAGGTCAGTAAGACATTAGAAATTTTTAGATCAGTAAGACATTAGACATTTTAGGTCAGTAAGACATTAGACACTTTCAGGTCAGTAAGACATTAGACATTTTCAGGTCAGTAAGACATTAACATTTTCAGATCAGTAAGACATTGGACATTTTCAGGTCAGTAAGATATTAGACATTTTTAGGGTTATCCCATTGGAAAAAAAAAGTTTTCGCTGATTTGGGAAACAATAGCCTCATTCAGTAATTTCACTGGTATATTATGGGTTTACATCTTTATTCTGGTTATTTAAAAATTAAGCCCCCTTTAAAGCTCACATTTTAGTCTTAATTTTCCTCCCCCCGGCCCTCTAAATTGATGAAGTGCTCAAGACTCGATGAACCCTCATTTTAATTTACTCTGAAATGAAATAATATTGAATAGTAATGATAATAAAATCCAGGACGCACGACAGATTAGGTCTTCATAAGTTGATGGTAAAAGTGGGAGAGAAGTCTTCCTTTCTGCTTTAGACCCTCCTCCTGCTGCGGGCTCGTCAGTTCTTTGCGCGTCGGTCCGAGCAGATTTAAATAGACTGTTCCTCACTATCTAAATAGCTGTACTAAGAAACATAAAATTAGTATGTTATTTATATATTTATATTTATTTTGCAAAAAAAAATTGAAATTCGCAGAATTTATATATATGTTCTCGAAAAGTCATTTTTTCCCGCTTTTGAAAATCTTTTTTTTTCAGAAGTTATGTAAGGTTACGCAATTTTTTTTATGGTTTTATTCGCTGAAATGGGGAAAATAAAGAAATATTGGGATAAATCTTAAAGTATGAAAAGAAAACTTGCCTTTTAATGTCCAATTTTTAATTTTCCCCAGATTATCAAATTCATCTCTATAAAAATATACACCCTTGATTGTTTAATTCCAGGAGCGGCATAAATGCATAAATTTCTTCTCTCGAGTTTACGGATACAACCCCCTGGTGTATACTCAATACAGAGCAGACTCAGTACTCTTCAAGACCAGGATACCTCCTGATAAACAGAAATGTTTTAAGTTTATCTAATTCCTTGTCAAGTATAGGAGTTCTGTGTACACTGTGCAGTGAAATAGTTGTACCATGTACATTGTTAACACCTTGTTCATTATTAGAATCAGTTTTTAATCGATGTTAAAAATATCGTTTAGTTGATATTTAACGTTAAAGGGACTGTACAGGTAATTTTATGTGACCCTTTATTAAAAGAGGGGCATGTCCAATTCACAACCTTCTTAGATGAATTACATATTATATAGTTTTGAAAACTCATCATTTTCAATTTTGGTTTCTTTACAAAAGTGACTTAAGTTTTTCTGCTGCAGGAAAACGGTTTAATCCACATTGTTGATCAGAAGTTACAAGGGTACTGTTGCTGTGAATCGGACACGCCCTTTTTTTTTATAAAAATGGGACACTGAAAATATAGCTTATAGTCCCTTTAATATGAATATTATTAATACTTCAGGTTTTCTGGCATGAAAAGTTTAACCTGGATAGAAATTTGCATAATTTTTGTACATTTGAAACTAAGCTGTATTTAAAACGTTCTAACCCTAGAATTTAATGTATTTACATTTTGATATTTACAGTACTAACTGTATAGTCTATTATTCATTCAGACTTTAATTTTGTTAACTTCAGAATAAATTATGTTAAGGCCTAGTCTTCTCAGGGTGTAGCTAAATGTAGGTAAGTCACGTTAAATAAATTTTAAATGGATTCCAGTGTTAATCGAACTTTGCTCCGTTATTTTCTGGCTCAGGGTGTAGTCCAACTCCGTCCTAGTCTTTTCAATCAGGGTCTAATTTTCATCTTTAAGTTGAGTTTATTATGCTTCTTTTTCCATTCTACTCCATAAGTCTGGTTCTTCTTGCGATGGTTGTAATAAGAGTAAGTTCTGAAATAACCCTGTCTTTTTACTTAAAAGAACTGTAAAATGTACAATCGTTTAATAAATCGGTCACCAAGATTTTCAAGAATTTCTTAGAAATCCTTCGCTTATCAAGTTTTCGTTAAGACGGAATCTAGTTTTATTTAGTATAATTACTATACTAAAGTCGTCGTTGTATATATCAATACAATGAAGGATTGTTACCAAGCTTTCAAAGAGAAGAAACATTTAAACGTTAAAACTAAGAGAAGTTCTCAATCAACAGCTTTTCTTTGTTTACTGGTAAACTTATAATAAGAAAACTTGTAAACTTTTAATAAAAAAATTAAAAAGTCTTCTTCGTTGTATTGATAAATCGTTGACCACTGTACCTGTTGAAAGCCAGTTTATTAAGGTCTTCCGTTGGTTGTACACTGTACAGTGCACAGTATGCCCGGCCTTCCCTGGAGCTGTCCTTTATGTAACGCCGAAGCTGAAGTGGAGCAGCAATGTGGGGGTTCTCAAGCTAGTACTCTGGTTTCACATCTACTAGATGTGCATGGATACGTGAGATGTGATAAATGTGATGGTGAAGTATATATTGATAAAACTTCCATTCCTACTCACATACATAATCCTCAACAGCCTGTACATGTACAGCAACAGCATATACATAATCCTCAACAGCCTGTACATGTACAGCAGCAGGATGCACAAATTCCACAAATCCAGGTAAATATCCATAAATGCGTCTTCATTGACTAACAAATATTATAATGTATCCAGACTTTATCTTAAAATGAAATACAATTATTTCATTTCCACTTTTTCCACAGCCATAGAATTTTCCCGAAACTTACTTTAAGACTGTAGATATGCTCAAGATTCCCCAAAGCTGCTGAAAAATGTTGAGTTTTTGTCATGAATCCAGCCAGTTTTTATGTGGAAATATGTTTGTGTTATCGATTAGCTATTGATATTTTATTTTTAATTCACACTGACAACACAATCAATTTGCTGAAGTAACGATTCCACGTCGTTTATTTTTAATGTTTTTAATGTTTTCAATATTTATGTTGTTATATTTAGAAAACCAAGACTTTCCTACGGAAACGATCTGTAGCTGAAGAAGAGAATGAGGATGAACCCAAGCGGAGTAAACGTATCCTTCTCCAGGTTGCCGGATCCAACCCAGAGATAGAAGATAGATCTCGCTCTGTAAGTGTCAGGCAATATTTAGTTCGGAGAAATGTTCCGGTTCATGGCAACCAGATAAAGAGCAAGATTCGTACTAGAACCATAAGTTCTTCTCAGAGTAGGGAGCAATCTGATATAAGGGAACAGTCTGAGATTAGGGAGCAATCTGAGATCAGGGAGGAACTTAAGATGAGTGAGCAAACTAAACGCAGGGAGCAAACTAAGCGCAAAGGTAAAAACAAAGGCAGGAGGGAGACTCTAAGTAGAGAACAAACTAAAAGTATAGAGCAGACTCGGGGCACGGAACCTACTGAGATTAGAGAGCAAACTGAGACCAGTGATAACATTATAATCAGAGAGCGGAATAAAGTACCGGAACAGACTGAGAACAGAGAGCAGATTCTGAGCAGCGCGAATGCGGAGTCAATTGAGCAGAATGAACCCAGTGATAAAGTTGATGGTGTTGGTATAACTAAACGTGATAAATTTATAAATCCTCTGAGCTTAACAAGCGGAGTTTACTCTCGTCCTACAAAATATGACAGGGATTCCTTAGGTAGGATATTTTGTATCGGAGAATCATGGGATCATTGGAAAGAGGGGGGGCTTGGGTAGGATTGGTCGCAAACATTTTTGAAACCATTGATGAAAATATCATGATTTTTAGGACAGAATCATATTTTATTTTGTATTAAAGGGATTGTAAGCGTAAAAGTAACCCTCTATGCAAAGTTGGCAATACCATTTTCACAACGGTACCCTTGACACCTTACCTCTGACCCATAATGTAGAAGATATCGACATTTTTTTAGGTTAAAAAGTTTTTGAAAATAACCAATTTAAAGAAACGAAAACATTGATATTCAATTCATACTTGATAAGACAACGCTTTCAAGGTTACCGATGTTAATCGGGCATTGCCATCTTTGCATGGAGGGTCACTTTTACACTTACTTACAGTCCCTAGAAGTGATTTCATTTCAATTCGATCGAATGACATGTATTAAGAACCGCAACAGGTTTAGAAATTTATCAGTACCTTGCCAGATATTAGATAACCCTCTTTTCAGCATTTTTGTAAGGACAGATTTTTAATTTTTTAAAATGCTCGGTTATAAATTAAGTTGGTATCGAGTTGTCCAGCACACCATCTTAAAGCTGAAGAGACTGTGAGCGTGAATTCAAGTGACCCTCCCTGCAAAGATAACAATGACCGATTTACAACGGTACCTTTGACAGCTTTGTTGGATCAAATTTTAATTAGATAATAGATATCCATGTTTTTGAGTTTGTTTTAACTGTTTTTTTTACTTGGGGGTTCTCTGCAAATTTTTCAGTGCAAAAGTCACTTGCGAATTTCTTGTTTAAAGAAAAATGGATAAATATAATATACCCATGGGGCTACTGATTTCTAATATAATATACCCATGGGGCTACTGATTTCTAATTTTAAAGAATTTGTGTTTTCAGGAAGTTTCTGGCACTATGCTATCCTTGAATGCTTGGCGTGTACTATACGACCCTCCCGGAAATTCCACAGTAACAGCTCCTGGGCTCAACACTTGAAACTCAAGCATTCAGACCTGACTCGTGAAGAGTACATCAACAAATTCGGGGAACCGGATATAACAAAATTTAAACATCGTTGCTATATCTGCAGGAAATAATATTTCGCAAATCTATAATTATCTTAATTTATAATCTCTTCTTTGAAAATTTGCTATTTTCAATTTTGGTCTTTCTAATAAATGACTTGCGTGTTTATTGCTTTAGATACAATGTGGAGAATTGTGAGAATTACACAATTTGTAAGTAAAAAAAACAACAACGATATTTTCAACATTATTTATCAGATAAAGGTTTAAAGGGTACTGGAGTGAATATTTTAATAAATTGACAATATTGATCGCATAAGATAAAATTCTTTAAACTTCAATTCGTCATATTTGAAAAGTCATAGGCGAAATATTTGTTAAAATCTAGAAAGATGTTATCAATGAATTTGAGTATCGTAAAGAGACATTTAAAAAGATTTCACAGATTACAAATCAGCAGTTACACATCCCAGTTCAGAAATCAACTGCTTCAGGTACACAGAGTAAACACTTAAGTTTCAATATTTTTTTCGTGGATTTGCACGGAGAAATAATAGATTTAATAAAAATCACCGAATATTTTTATGAAAATGCATTAAGGAATGCATTTAATACCATGAAAAATGTTCCTAGGAGAAGAAAGAGAGACCTAGATTTCTTCCTAGTCATCCTCTAGAGGGTTGGTGGGAGGGATGCTTGTACTCATGTAAACACTGTACATACGTTGTACCAGGTAACTAGAGGGTTGGTGGGAGGGATGCTTGTACTCATGTAAACACTGTACATACGTTGTACCAGGTAACTAGAGGGTTGGTGGGAGGGATGCTTNTCTGCAGCTCTGTGCCTGAAATCTCATGATAAACCTTAATTGTTCAGTTGGATCAGTATTAGAACACCATCTGGAGTTAGTTCACGGTATCTCTAAACTCCAGGATAAAGAAGATTATGGAGACCTGATTACCCTGACCAGATACCACCAGTGTTTCATCTGCCTGAAGATAGTGAAACACGAGTACAAGGGGATTTATCAACATCTTGCTTTGCATAACACGAATGTTCTCAGCTATACCAAGAAGTTCATCACTAATATCTACAAAGAGCTCCGCGATAAAGGCAGAGAGATATGATTGGATAAAAAATAATCGCTTTTTCTAAATTTGCTTTGATATAACTTTTGGGAAAGTAAGATAGGGGGAAACTCTCAAAATGTTCAGTGAGGTCTTAAAATCCCCACATTTCTGATTTTATTTAAGGGGAGGGAGGGGCGAAGGGGAGGGGGCGTAAACGAGACAAAATTTCGATTTTAAGATTCTGTACTTTCTAATCCCTGGATGAAGGTATGGAGTATGTAATAGAGCGGGAAGAAGAGATAAAGAGTAGTCCGACCCTGGCCGAGTACTTGAAGAGAAGAACGAGGGATGAGAGCAGTGAGAGTACTGACGAGAAGCTGATGAATGAATGGTCGGACTACTGTGAGTATAAATGTGGTTTATGTCAGGAAACTCTTCTCTCAAACCTCAAGTTTAATCTCCACGTCGTGAGGGTTCATAAACTGAAGAAAATGAAGGAGTATCGAGAGAAATATGGAGATCCGGAAACAACCCAAAGACTTCACAAATGCTTGCTTTGCTTTAATAACTTGAAATGGGAGGCTTCGAGGATCCGAGATCATTTAAAGAATAAACACAACGTCAAGGGAAAGTTTCCCTCGTTAAAAGAATACGGAGAAAAATTTAAGAAAGAAATTTTAATTGAAATCAAGAAATTGGGTAGTTCTGATTCTTCTAATGCTCAAAATGAAATATATCCTTACCGCTTGGAGCAAACTTTGGTTGGAGGAACCAAGAAGAAATTTAGTCCTAAAGAATGGAAAGATCTTCACCAGAGGAAACAACATCCTAGAGATAAGGTTTCCTGTCCGCACTGTAACCTTACAGTTCACAGATCCTCCTTGAATAAACATATGACGAGATTACATCCGTCCGAGATGATGAGGGATCTTAAGATGGCATCAGGACGGATAACTCCGGAAGGACGCATGGATGATGATGCAGAGAACAAAGATAAGGAAGAAGTATCGAGGACTAGGAACGAAAGGTTGGGTGCGGAGGAAGTTATCCTTGATGATGAGGCGGACTTGTGTCACAAGTTTATGATTGACAACGAATCCGGAGAAATCATTCTTCTCGACTCTGTGGAGAGTAGAAACCTCTCCTATGTTACAGGGGAACCGGACCAGGACTTAAATCTTCAAGAAGTTAGTAATCGAGTCTTGATTCGTCACTCCATCAAGAAAAGTACAGACTTTGGGAAGAGCGAGTTTGGTTCGGACAAAGAATTTGAATCAGAGAATGACCTGTGTTCGGAAAATGAATTCGTTCCTGAGAATGAGTTTGAAACCGGTCCATTAGACGGGAAAATTGTGCATGTCGAGTCTTTAGTTCGGAATGAGAATGGATACGAAGAATATAATTTCGAGTTTATTGATGAAGATGAAGCTGGGTTGGATACAGAAGTTGAAAATACCAAGAAAACTGATGAAGAGATGGAACTTTATCATTTAAACAGTGCACATAGAGAAAAGAAGGAGAGGGGGGAGGTGGAGGAGCAGATTGGCATCGAGGTGGAGCAGGAAGACATCGAGGTGGAGCAGGAAGACATCGAGGTGGAGCAGGAAAACATCGAGGTGGAGCAGGAAAAAATCGAGGTGGAACAGGAAGACATCGAGGTGGAACAGGATGACATCGAGGTGGAGCAGGTGGGTATCAATGAGAAGCAGGATGATATTGAACAGGAGTATATTGATTTTGAACAGGAGTATATCGATGAGGAGCAGGAAGATATAGAAGAGGTAACCATTTATGTTGACGACAACCCTAATATGTATGTTTATCAACGAACAAATAAGACTGAATATAAAATGGAGAACAGAGAAGATGGAACAGAGAAGCTGGATCTAGGTATGGAGGTGCTTCAGGTGGATGTGGGTAAGGAAATCGATGTTGATGTTTCCGAGGTCGCCGATGTGATAAATCCACTTGAGGTCGAAGAGACAGAGAAAGAAAACCTTGATAATAAGATGATATCCAACCATCTCAAAGAGCAGGCTGAAACCCTGTTTGAAAAAGACAAATCTCTGGACACAATAATATTATCCAACTCTGAAGGTGTTCACCAGATTGCAATAGTCAGGAAGAAAGGATCATCAACTATACCAAAGAATTCTCAGGCCAAGTTTCTTGAACAAATCACCAGTATTCTTGGAGCAGACGAGAAAATGTTTCAAGGAAAGTCCGGTCCTCTCAAGATTATCGAGATCGAGGTTGATTCTATCCCTGAGAGAGGTGAGAACAAGGTGTCCAGGGTTGCTGCAGCGTATGCTAAGAAATGTATATCTGCTCCCTGTGCACTAGATCCTAGATTTATGAGTGTTGGAACACAGGCTAGTTCCTGGACTAAGATGGCGGGGGAGAGAGCAAAGGTTGGTTTATGCAAAAATCATAACTTCTAATAATAAATATCAGAAGTGTAATATTTAGAGGGTTTTGGATGAAAAGTATGAAAAAACTTGCCTTTTAATGTCTTATCTAGAAAAATCATTTTCTATAGCTGAATTAGGAAAAAAAAAGTTTTGGGGTTACAGATCAAAAAAAGGGAACGATTACCAGTTGAATTCGGATTTCTTATTTTTCTCCGGAAGATGGATTCTGAGAAACAGATAATTTGCATCAAAAATTTATTTTACACGGAATAAAAAAACAATTTATTTGGGATCAGCGTGGAAACAATGATAACTTAAAATTGTCAAATGCAGCTAAATTAACATTAGAAGTTTATTTTTCATGCTGCGTGAAATTGAGTCGTGTTATAAATGAAAACTTCTATCTAAGGTTGCACGGAGAAAGATGTTGAAACCGAGAGAACAGGGTTCAGGTCGGGATACTTATGAGTTTGATCCTGGTATTTCCAGTTCCCGAGATCTGGAAGGATATTCGAGTACAGGGATCCAGATTTCCTCGAAAGCTACACAGGTGAAAAATTGTTCATGAAATAAAGGAACCGAGTTCTTTCAACAAATTTGAATATAAAATTGAAGTTTGTGGAAAAAATCCCTATATCTTCACAACCTGGTAATGTAAATCTTGGATATTTCTGATTTCAAACTTGGACTATTTAATCCAACAGAATTCATAGTTTGAAATATCAAAGATATACGACATTAGGTTTGCAAAGATATGGTGACTAAAAAATCCGAGTTTGCGTCAAAAGAACTAAGTTCTTTAGTAAGTTTTTGTCCTGAAATTAATTCATAAATTGTTCTTCTCATTTATACTTTTATATTTTTCGCTAGTTTGTGGGTTCTGTCCTTTTTTATGTTACATCATTGATCTGAATAAATAAATCATAAAGCGGTAATTGTGGGAATATCATGTCATGAGGGGGTATATTTTTAAGGACAGAAATGGGATTTATAAAAGCGATTCTGTTGTTTGTGTAAGTGTTAAAATTCTTGTATAAGTATATTAGTTATATTCAAATTTCAATATTTTTAGACAATTGATTCTTAAACAAAATTGTGGAAAATAAAACTGTTTTAACCTTATATAATGTTCCCTTGTAGGTGAGCTATGAAACCTCTCGAGGATTGTTTGAAGAGGAAGAGGAGGAAGAAATGAAGAAAAAGATTATAAATTATCTCCAAGAAGGGAAAAAACTGGATAAAACCTGCCCTGGCTGCAACAAAACAATGGCTAAACTCAGAAACCTGATATCTCATCTCAAGGCAAGTAGTTGAGTTTACAAAACCTTGAAACCCGGAGAATTAAAGGTACTATCGTTGTAATTGCAATATAAAGAGGTGTATACCCGATCCTTCATGTTTTCTGCGGCAGAAATTCGCAAGTCCTTCTAATAGAGAACCCACAATTCAAAAAAGAGATTTTAATATCTTTCCAAGTCCTAATCAAGAAAAGCGTTTCAGGGTACTGCGACCGTTGGGAATTAAAATATTTCACTCTAAAAGTAGGGTCACTTAAAATATGCCTGTTGCAAGGTACGCATTGTGACCTTGATAACGTCATTCCTCCAGGTTGCACCTCTCCTAGGAACAGGAGGTCGGGATTGATCTTACCTGTAGGGTCGGATACTACTGTAGGCGGTCTGAGTTGCTCAAAATGGGGCTTCTTGCAGATCTCATTCTCGTATAATCTCCTGTACTGTCCGTATAAAGGGAAATTGGTTGAATTTTCAAGTCTTAAAATCAGAGGAACTTAACCTTTCAAGCCTGGACACCCCCCGGGGAATTCTTTCACAGCTTGAAACCCGTGGAAGATCTAAGTAATAGAATTATTTGATTATTATTCAGAATAACAGGAGAACATTGTTTTCTAAAAATTATATATTTTGAATTAGCATTTGTGCGCCAAATAAATTTACTGTGTGAAGAGAAAATAAAATACAATTAAAACAATTAAAAGAGCTTTTTCTGCGAAAGCTGTTTTTGAACCTGATTATTCAATATAGGTTCGGCACTGTGTAAGGTTGGCCGGAAAACTTGGAGATTCTCTTGAAGAGAAGCAAGTTAAAGATAACTCTGCAGTTTCATGTCCAATCTGCTCTTTACAACTCTCAAGGTAAATATTGCTCAAACCAAGATCATCAATGAATTCAAAATTGTCTTATCATATTTATTTTTACTTCATTGTTTTTTTTAGTTCGTTAAACCTTGATTTTTAAAAATTATATGGTATTTCTTCTCTAAAACTGAAATAAAGTTGTATTTTTTTGGTTTTAATCTTTTTTTTTTATTTTTAGAAAATCTTTACGGCGTCACCTCCGGCTACAGCATAAACAGAGCTAGCGACATCCCTTTCATTGACTTGGATTTCCACCTTATTGGATAAATTGCCACTTTTACCCTATTGGATAAATTGCTATTTAAACCTTTTTGGATAAATTGCTACTTACACCTTATTGCATAAATTGCTACTAACTGGATTGATTTAACTTCCACCTATTTTTCGCAATTTATACTATTCTAAGTTTTAATACTTACCATCTTTTTGGTGGATAAATCGCTAAAGCTACTTCCAACTTCTACCGCTACTACCATGTACTCTAATAAACTGCTACAACTCAAATACATGATAAGTCAATTCTTCCAAGCTCCAGGTTAAATTGCTACTCCGTGATCTGCTAATGCCAAGATCTTGATGAGGTTCTACAAATATTGCACTAGTTCGTCACTATTGCTACTTTAGGAAGTCTCTCCTTCTTTCCTAGTTCTCCTCATTATATTCTCCGCTCCATTCATCGTCCTATTTCACTCGTTCTTCCCACTGCACTCGTTCTTCTGATTCTCAGGAAACCCATTGGTCGAACAGATAAAAGGTATATCTAGTATTAAAGATAATTATCTCGCCAACAAATTAGGATCTTTTAATGGTAGATATGTTTTATAAAAAAAAAATTAATGGATATTTATAGATGAAGTGATTTGTAAAAAATTAAATGGACATCGTAAATAGCGTGTCTCTAAAAGAAAAGTAGGTGACACCAGAGCCTCAATTCTGAACCAATCGTAAATTTTTCAAATATAATTTAATTCCTCTGGTATAACTTCTGTTTTTAGAGACACTCTGTATTTAACAACAATTTATGAAATTTCCATTAATTTTTTTTCTTTTTTGAAACCCAAGTTTAATCGTTGCGAACAATTTAGTCTTTTTATTCTAAACTACATCACAGTTAAATTGTAAAATTTTGTATTTTTAGGCTCTGAGAACCATGAGGATTGAACTACATGAATATTCTAACTGCTGCTGTTGATGTATTAATTAATGATTAGTTTTATAATATGGGAATGTTCATGAGTTCTGTAAGGGGGGTTTAATACGAATCATATTTTTTTATTTGATTGTCGTTCTCTCCACATTTTATTTCCGAAAATTATGATACGTTCTATTCGTACCCCCCTTTCTAAATTCATGAACTCCCAGTTTAGGTATCAATTGTTTCAGATGAATGTTTCAAAGCTGGTGAGCCTGGTGCCAGGTTTACAGACAGTTCTCGTCTCTCAACAGGTTTAGGGTTTAACATTTATTTGTTTGCCTTTAGTATTATTCTTGATGTATTAATATAGAACATAAATACAATTTGATCCTTTAAACTGTGGAATATGATGATGACATTTCGACAATCTCATTTGTAGTTGTTAGAATGCAAATAGTTTATTCAATTGTTCCAAAATCAACTTTTTAATTGAAATGGGTTTGTGTATGCTGCACAATTGCTGTGTTTTATGTTCAAAGGACTAATTATAATTATAAATCATAACTTGGGTCTCATGATCATCTTCCTATTCAGCAGTTTTATAGGTCTCACTGTATGCAAAGTTTAAGGCTTAATTAACGATTCAGAAATCAGGAAAATTTTATAATCTCTCTTTTTTCAAAAGTTCAGATTTGGGTTTTGAGAGTTAACATTTTTATTTCAGTATTTGGTTGATATTTTGCTCCGTGGATCTGCATACTTTTGCGGATCCGGATCCATGAAGTCAAAATCTTGTGGATCCAACGGATCCGGATCCTAAGCACTGCAAAATATATACCCTTGTCTTATTATAGAGGAACCTAAATTGTAACCGAGCTGGTATAACGAGAACAAAGAGAGCAATGTATATGTACCAGTTTCCAACTTCAGTTGTCAACCCAGACGGTAGCACTATACAGGGTAGGTCATCCGGGGGTTTATATTTTTAACCCAGACGGTAGCACTATACAGGGTAGGTCATCCGGGGGTTTATATTTTTAACCAGACGGTAGCACTATACAGGGTAGGTCATCCGGGGGTTTATATTTTTAACCAGACGGTAGCACTATACAGGGTAGGTCATCAGGGGGTTTATATTTGTAATAAATGATTTTTGAAGATCTTGGGAAAAAACAAAATATCAAACATTGAAAAGGTAAGTTTTTTCATACTTTATACTCAAAAAGTTATTAATTTTATCTTAAAATTTCATTTATTTTCCCCCATAATTTAGCGGATTTTAAAAGAGGGGTTAAAATGATTATTTAGGAAAGCATTCACTCCTTGTCGTTGTCATGATTATTCGGAAACTAATCAGTATTCGGGGTAGGCCATAATTATTTGGAAAATTTACAGGCTAGGCTACAATTATTTGGAAACTATACAGGGTAGGCCATAATTACTCTGAAAGTATAGAGGGTAGGTCATATTTATTTGGAAACTATACAGGGTAGGTCATAATTATTCGGAAACTAAACAGGTTAGGTCATAATTATTCGGAAACTAAACAGGTTAGGTCATAATTATTCGGAAACTAAACGGGGTAGGTCATAATTATTCGGAAACTAAACAGGGTAGGTCATAATTATTCGGAAACTAAACAGGGTAGGTCATAATTATTCGGAAACTAAACAGGGTAGGCCTTAATTATTCGGAAACTATTCAGGGTAGGTCATAATTATTTGGAAACTAAACAGGGTAGGTCATAATTATTCGGAAACTAAACAGGGTAGGTCATATTTATTTGGAAACTATACTGGGTTGGTCATAATTATTTGGAAACTATACAGGCTTGGTCATAATTATTTGGACACTATACAGGCTTGGTCATAATTATTTGGAAACTGTACAGGGTAGGTCATGTTTATTTGGAAACTATAGGGTAGGTCATAATTATTTGAAAATTATACAGGGTAGGTCATAATTGTTCGAAATTATTCAGGGTTAGTCATAATTTTTTGGAATCTTTTCAGAGCAAGTAATAATTATTTAAAAACAATTCAGAGTAGGTCATAATTATTTGGAAACTTTTCAGGGTTTTGGACTATACAGAGTAGGTCATAATTCTTTTGATAGAATACAGTTTAAGTCACACTTTTTTGCAAAGAATACAGGATAGGTCATAATTATTTTGAAAGAATACAGGGCAAAACATAATTATTTGGAAAGAATACAGGGCAAAACATAATTATTTGGAAAGAATACAGGGCAAAACATAATTATTTGGAAAGAATACAGGGCAAAACATAATTATTTGGAAAGAATACAGGGCAAAACATAATTATTTGGAAAGAATACAGGGCAAAACATAATTATTTGGAAAGAAAAAAACCGGAACTAGGAAAGGTCCTAATTATTAGAAAATCATGCTAAATTTGTGTTAACAATATCGAATAGATTTCTGTATTCAGTTAAGTACCCTGAGCCCCGGGTTCTGCTGAAATTGCCCCTAGATCTCGAGTCCGCTACTCCAGCACAAAAAAGACAAATTCAACTAATAAGGTGAACAAAATGTTTCGATTTAGTATTGTAATATTAATAAATGGTAAAAATATAAACAAGGAAATCTGGGTTAAAAGAACGCTTGAAAATTATTTTCTAAAAATTATTTAAATAGTGATTTTCAAAATTTAAATTTTAATGATCTAATTCTATTCACTATGTTTCAGGAGACCGAAGCAAGCGCTGAAAATAACTGAAGATACAGGAGATTCTTTCGATCCTTTAAAATATATATAAACCAGCTCTCTCTCAAGTATTTAGTTTTAGTCCAATCAATTTAGATAAATATGATTTCAGATAAATATGATTCTTGGAAGAAGATTGATTAAGCAGAGATGCTTGGCATTTAGAGAAACCTGGCGAGGATTATCTGAATATCCTAATCCGGAGTTAAAACTTCCCAACCTTAACCTAGACATGGAGTTTTACCTGAATCCGGAGAATACGGCTTTAATCAAGCAAAATATTAAGTCTAGAAATAGCACATCGGATATAGATAAAGTTATAGATCTAAGTAAACTGAATCCAACTGCTGAAGTGCTTATGAAAGAACTGCTTAATATCCCCAATATGTCCAGCAGTAAGGTTCGTCACTTGACAGAACCACGGGTAGTGTTCCAGCGGGATTTTATTCCCCCTGAATTTAAGATTCGAAATTTTGAGGAAATAAGCCGTATACTTGGAGGTGGGAGAATTCAGAACCTAGCTTACTTCAGTGGAGAGAGAACTTATTATCTAACAGGTCTAAAATGAAACAATTATTATTAACCATAAATTAGGGATTACAAATGTCTCTTTCAATATTATTTCGTACTCCAAGAAACAAATATTTCTCAGATTTTTTGTTTGAATTGGTCAATTTTCAAAAATTGTAATTATAGACATTTTTTATTCGACTTGCCACAATCCTCCAATGGGGTCATATGTAAGTTGCCAAAAGCAAAAAATGGTTTTAGAACACAAACATAGTCCGATGTGTCCAAATGTTAATAGGCAAAATTTTATTCAGAAGGATTTTGATATTAACAAGCCTGTATTTAGTTTAACAGTTCTGATTCAAGAAATTTGAAATTATGTGAAAATATTTTAGTTTTATTATTTTTAACACAACTCATTCAGAGAGAAAACGCCCTTTAAAAGGACTGTAAAGGAAAAATGAAAGGGTGTATAGGCTGATCTTAGCTCTCGATCGCGACCCATGAAAGTTATATCTGATGGTCCTATCTCGAGAAATTGATATACAACTTTGTCAAAATTAATATATAAACAATTTTGTATAAAAGTAGTGGGTTTAGATTGATCAAATTCAGCAAATAAGCAACCAATCTGAAAACGATGATATCCTAGAGAAAGCTAATTGTAACTTAGGTTTACTCCAATTCTAATTTTATATTTTTTATTTCTATTTTTAATAGATTTAATGCATAATATTATTTATACGTCCGTATTACTTGACCAGATAATCCACCAATGGTAGTGCAGTATAGTGGTCACGTGATGCAGGCGGAGACACGTGACCAGTATACTGCTCTGCAATTGGTGATAATTCTGGTCACGTGATTTAAGTTAAAGATTTTCTAAATTTTAAGTATATGAATTTTCGTATAATTTAACACAGTTTTATATCAATTTCTCGAGACAGGAACATTAGATAAATTTTCATGGGTCGCGATCAAGAGCTAAAGTGATTAGCTTTCAGTCTATACCCCCTTTCTTTTTTCCTTTACAGTCCCTTTAAAGATATATACACAATAAATAAAATAAGTTTAAATCTACCCAGGAGTACTGGCTGAGCTAGAGCAGGCTTTAATCCACTGGACAGTTGATACCTTAAGTAGCAAGGTAGGTTTAGGTCAAATATTTTTCAGTAAAAGGGACAGTAAACTAAATTTCAAGTGAACTTTCATACAAAAATGGCAATGTAGAAGATATTGTAGCTTTTCTAGGTTTGAAAGTGTTTGTTTTTAACAATTCCTGCAGTAGAAATGCGCAAGTAGTTTTTGTAGAGAAACCACAATTGAAATAAGCAGTTTTCAAAATTATAAATGATATCTAATTAATATTTGATCAGACAGAGCTTTTAAGGGTACTGTGCCACCCTTGCATGAGATTTGCTTGAAATTACTCTAACAGTCCTTTTAACATACTCGTTGGTTATTTTATCTTAAGTGCGAAACATTTGGTTGGAATACTGGAAAGTTCCAGCGACTGAACTCGATATCCACAGCGTAAACTTTTAAACGGAAGAATTTAAGTTTCCGGAGATATTAAACTGCTAAGAACAGATTTTATATAAATATATATTTCTGCTTTAATCTCTGATTAAACCAATCTTTCTCTAAAATTAGGTTTTTTTGTTGATTAAAGTTCACCTTTTTATACAACAATTTTAGTTAAGTTCCATTTTTTGTTTTAAGTGGAAAAAATTTTAATTGTTCCATGTTTTGTATTTATAGGGATTTAATCTGATCTCAGTTCCAGATATTTTACATCCAGATATTATTCAAAGGTATGTTGTGTGGGGGGTGGGGGGTTGCTTTATCCATTTTCTTTAAATGGATTGTATATCTTGTACGTTGGTTCTGTTCTTTAGTTAATATTTGTTGGTAGGTCTGGAAGTGAAGGTTTAAGTAAACTTTGTGTAATTGGTTTGAACTAGTTTTGTCAAATGCGCTATCCAAAACAAAAGGGATCGGGAAAGTAATTTCTGAATGATTTATTCTCTACCCGACCTGAAGTATTTTGTTTAGCACCTAGATACTCAGATATTTTGAATTTTTAAAGAAGTTATTTCTAGAGTTTGAAAATGAATTGTGTTGTTATCTCTAGATGTGGTATGACAGTAGACGGAGAGAGAAGTCAAGTTTACAGATTAAGTAAAGAATTTGGTGAGGTTAGAAATATTAATTTACCACTCTTAATAAAGGTTGTCATGTATAGATACGGGGTGGGGGAGCAACTGTTGTGTGCCCCTCTATTATGTTAGATTAAATTTAATGTGAAATAATTTTTTATCTGTATAACAAGGACCACTCCCCGGTCCCCCACCCACTCAACAAAAACTTGCATCGCATAGAGTTGTCATGTATCTTCTTGTAATATATTGAATTCTAATGTACTCGGCTTTCAGGGCGCTTCGCGCCCATCTTCTGTTTCGATTGTGAAAATTTTCTCTTTGTATACAAACATTGAAAAACAAAAACAAACAAAAAGTTCGCGGATTTTATAAAAAAAAAATTGTGGTTTTCAAAATTTAATGAAAATCGAATTTTGTTTTTTTGTTTCAGCCGTTTCGACGTTTATTGAATACAAACAAACAGACAGACAGACATGCAAATTATATATGTAGATTGTATGGTAATGTGCAGTTTAATATTGTTTTGTTAAACATGAAATATATTGTAGGCTGCACTGTCCGGAACTGCAGAGATGGGGATTGGTGGTTATTTAATGTCGAAACAGATACAAGATCTACCATTGAAACTTTGTGCTGTATCCAGGTACAGATACAAGATCTACCATTGAAACTATGTGCTGTATCCAGGTACAGATACAAGATATACCATTGAAACTTTGTGCTGTGCAGTTTAGTCTTAAACCTCTACGATATATTTTAGATGTTACCGAGCCGAAGCAAGCCAAAACCAACAGGATAAAGGTCTGTACCGAGTACACCAATTCAACAAGGTATTATATTAGTTTTATCTACGGACAAGTAAGAACAGTTTGATCTACGGACAAGTAAAAACAGTTTGATCTACAGACAAGTAAGAACAGTTTGATCTACGGACAAGTAAGAACAGTTTGGTCTACGGACAAGTATAAATAGTTTGATCTACAGCCAAGTAAAAACAGTTTGATCTACGGACAAATAAGAATAGTTTTATCTACTGACAAGTAGAAATAGTTTGATCTACGGACAAGTAAAAACAGTTTGATCTACAGACAAGTAAGAACAGTTTTATCTACGGACAAGTAGAAATAGTTTGATCTACGGACAAGTAAAAACAGTTTGATCTACGGACAAATAAGAATAGTTTTATCTACGGACAAGTAAGAACAGTTTGATCTACGGACAAGTAGAAATAGTTTGATCTACAGACAAGTAAAAACAGTTTGATCTACGGACAAATAAGAATAGTTTGATCTACGGACAAGTAAAAACAGTTTGATCTACGGACAAATAAGAATAGTTTGATCTACAGACAAGTAAAAACAGTTTGATCTACGGACAAATAAGAATAGTTTGATCTACGGACAAGTATCTAGGTCGAGATGTTTGTTGTAACATCAGGAGATGAGAACTCAAGTCAGGATGCACTAGAACTGGTTCATTCAATAGAGAGAGAGCTTTTTGATCAGCTAGGTAGGTTTAATCTTGTTTTTGATCAGCTAGGTAGGTTTGATCTTGTTTTTGATCAGCTAGGTAGGTTTAAGCTTGTTTTTGATCAGCTAGGTAGGTTTAAGCTTGTTTTTGATCAGCTAGGTAGGTTTAATCTTGTTTTTGATCAGCTAGGTAGGTTTAATCTTGTATTTACGGTTTTATCCACGGTTTCTCCAACACATGAACAACCAACTTTACATTTTTGTAAAAAAAAATTGCTCATTTCAATTTGGTTTAGGTCGATTATAACCCGTGATTGAATTTATTCCATGAAGATACAGAGATCAGAGTCCCAAAAACATGAGAATTTAGTAATTAGTCCAAAAAAAGCCAATAATTTGTCAATAATAATAATAAACACTCCGACTTTGATTGAATATTAAATAGGTTAAAGACATTCTCAAGACTTTCCCTACCTGAGCTGGGAACTTTAGAATGGTGGATATCGGGATTAATGCTTGATCCACTCTTTTTCTTAATCTCCAGATTAAATATGGCTTGTTCTCCTCTTGTTATTAATCTCCAGATTAATTAACCGATCGGGATTAAGGATATCCCATTCTAAAGTTTTCAGCTCTGTATCTATATCTGGATGCAAACTGATCTCTGTAAACTAGGATTGTTCTTTATGTATCTGTATCTGGATACAGACTGATCTCTGTATCTTAGGTTTATCCTACTAGTATCTGTATCTGGATACCAACTGATATCTGTATCCAAGGTTTATCCTACTTGTATTTTATCTGGATACACACTAGTTTTCTAGGTTTATCCTACTTGTATCTGCATCTGGATACACACTAATCTCTGTATGCTAGGTTTATCCTACTTCTATCTGTATCTGGATACACACTGAGCACAGTGTTCTAGGTTTATCCTACCTTTATCTGGATACACACTGATCCCTGTAACCTTGGTTTATCCTACTTGTATATGTATCTTGATACACACTGATCTCTGTATTCTAAATTTATCCTACTTTTATTTGTATCTGGATACACACTGATCGCTGATTCTAGGTTTATCCTACTTGTATCTGTATCTGGATACCAGCTGATATCTGTATCCAAGGTTTATCCTACTTGTATCTTTATCTGGATACACACTAGTTTTCTAGGTTTATCCTACTTGTATCTGCATCTGGATACACACTAATCTCTGTATCCTAGGTTTATCCTACTTGCATCTGTATCTGGATACACAATTATCTCTGTATCCTAGGTTTATCCCACTGGATAGGTATCTGGATACACACTTATCTCTATATCCTAGGTTTATCCTACTTGTATCTGTATCTGGATACACATTAATCTCTATATCCTAGGTTTATCCTACTCGCATCTGTATCTGGATACACACTAATCTCTGTATTCTAGGTTTATCCTACTTGTATCTGTATCTGGATACACACTAATCTCTGTATCCTAGGTTTATCCTTCTTGTATATGTATCTTGATACACACTAATCTCTATATCCTAGGGTTATCCTACTTGTATATGTATCTGGATACATATTAATCTCTATATGCTAGGGTTATCCTACTTGTATATGTATCTGGATACATATTAATCTCTATATGCTAGGTTTATCCTACTTGTATATGTATCTGGATACACACTAATCTCTATATCCTAGGTTTATCCTACTTGTATATGTATATGGATACATACTAATCTCTATATGCTAGGTTTAACCTACTTGTATATGTATCTGGATACACACTAATCTCTATATCCTAGGTTTATCCTACAGAGTGTTGGACATGTCGCCTGACGAGCTAGGAAACCCTGCGGCTAGAAAATATGATATCGAAGTAAGCATTTTATATATATAACTAAGCTATCTTTCTTTGTTACCCTGATCACAATTACAACTTTTTATACAGTGCAGAGACCCATTTATTGTGGAATAAGTAGACGAATCTAGTTTAGGGTTTAAACATGAAATTGATGAAATATCGAAACTGTGCATTTACCCATTTACTTTGTAAGTTGATAGCTACTGGTATTTCATTTATTACAACATAAAGTACACAAAATATGGCTTAATATCTTCTTATTCCACAGTCCCACTGAAAAATGTTTGAAAGTTTTCTACTTAAAAGGTTTGTTTGACAAAATATTTCTATTTTGTCTAGGCGTGGATGCCAGGTAGAATGTTCTGGGGTGAAATCTCCTCGTGTTCAGATTGTACAGATTATCAATCTAGACGGTTAAATATAACAGATACAGATAACAGGTCTCATAAGAACGCAAAAACGATTCTCTTTTTTCAATTATTACTTCTCTATGATGTTGCAGCTGAAAAAATAAACGAAGAAGATATATTTCGTGCAGACGTCTCATCCTTTGTTGGTAACCCTGTGTTTCATAGCAAACCTTTATAAGGTTTATAAACACTCCAAATTGCTTAACAAAAAATATATGATTGTGAAGAAGTGACATAAGTGTCAATTTTCATGAATTAATCTGAAAAAAAATCTACAGTAAATTTTTTGTAATGGTTCAAATTAATCATATATTTCGGCCACGTTTTAGGTAATTTCGACGTTCAAAACCTTTTACCTTTTTTAATACTGGTACAAAATAATGAAAGGTTATCATGAAAGAAAGCGAAACCTTAATAATTATTTTATATAATTTAAGAATTTTCTAACAATTATTTATTTTAGATTTTGCCACACTGTAAATGGAACAGCTTGTGCAGTTCCCAGAATGATCATAGCGTTGTGTGAACAGTTGCAGACCCTGAACGGTTCAATATCTATCCCTCCTGTTCTCCGACCCTACCTAAGAAACAGGGAGATTCTCCAGGGCAAACCAAAGAAGCTCCGACCAAATCTGTCCTTTATCACGAGTGCAAATTTTATTGAAAAAACGAAAATATAAAATGTATAAATTGTAATATTATTATTTCGATGCTGCCAGCCATTTCTGAAAAACCAGAGGACCCTTCTCCGTGACCTCGCTCCGTCCCGTCTTTGTAATGAGGTCGTTGTCCCTGTTTAAGATGATTAGGGTCGGGATCCCTGACACTTGGAACTTTTTCTTCAAATCCTAGACAAACCTTGATTATATTGGGCTCAAGTAATATGACAATTTGGCTTCCCAGATCCGGATCCAAGGGGCAAAATATCGATGGATCCGAATCACTGATTTGTACGATTTGAAGTTGATAAATTTCTGTTTACCTGTGATAAAACTGTTCCATGCTGTACTGCCAACCAATCTCCATGACTTTCCTATTTTTACAAAAAATAAAGCAAATAAGTTTTTTTTGGTATTTTCAAGAATGACAGTGAATTTGTATCCAGGTTTCAATGTTTTGTCAGAATATTATATTAATGCGACATTTTAGACAAATTTTGCAGACTTTTGTGATCTTTAAGTCTTTACATTTATACATGCGGTTAGAGATAGGGTACTCTATACTTCTAGGAAAGTCGATACAAGATATTCAGTAAAATTTAACAAAGGATTGAGTCTTTGCCAAAAACTCGAACGTTCTTATCCCTAAACTTTTTGATATTTTAAACTTACAGAATTAATAGTTTCAAATGTCATATGTTTACACCATGAGGGTGCAAAGATTTAGATAGATAGATAGAAGATCAGAGTATGTGGCAAAGACTCTATTCCTTTAAAAATTTGTTGGTCGAATTTGCTAACTAACATTACCTTCATATAGGTCATAAGTTCTTCTGGTGAATTATCACTGGAGATAAATATTATCTCAAAAGGTTCCCCGTTAGACACAAGATCCTATTGAAAGGGCATATATAATATATAGGTAAAATATCCTGGAACAATAATATAGAAAAAGCAAGTTACATTTTTCATTTTGTATTTAAAAAAAGCCAAGATTTGTTAATCTGCTTATTAACAGGAAATCTTGTGTATTGTCCTATATATCCTGTATCATATCCTGTATTTTGTATCATACATATACTATAGCATGTATCAATCATTTTTATATCGTTAATCATATGAAACCTATGTAGATAAACTGTTCTCGAACGCGAATCCGTCAGAAAATGCGTGGAGTTTTTTATTGTGTTCGACTCTACACTAATTCAATATTTTATCTCAATCCTCGTTGCTTTTAAATTGTTCCATTATAATTGTGTACGAATAAATAGAAATAAATAAATAAGTACATCCTGGATCTTGTATCATACAGAATAAAGGGTTACCCACGAAGAATGAGATTGCAAAGATGACGTAAAAATCTATAAAAACAACTCTCTAAAGGTTCAATCAAGTTTTCTGTCATGAAGAATAAGTATAGTCTTAATTGACTTACATAATGATTTGGCAAAGAAAGTAATAAGTTTACAGTTGCAAAGAATCATTAATATCAGGAAACAGACCGAAGACATTCTGTACAGTTAGTTTCTGAAGTCACATCCTTTGTAAGATAAAAAGTAGAATTCTATTATTTTATAACATTAAATGAAATTGTTAAACTTGTCCAAAAACATGATTTTATATATTGTTCATATATCCTATATCACTTCCTGTATTCTGAATCATACATGTATCATTTAGAAATTCAGACTTAAATCCTTTACCGTGTATCTTTCAAATTTATATCCTATATCATGTGTCCTTCTAACTTATATCATACATCATATGATGTATCATGTAGCATGTATCCTGTATCATATATCCTGTATTATAAGTCTTGTATCTCTTATCCCATGCATTCTGCCTGTATCCAAGGAGCATTAAAAAATACCGTATAAAATTCTGCCAAGGCAGGAGTAAACAGTCTGCAGGGTGGACACCAATGGGCGGAGAAATAGAAACCAATTATCTTCTTGTCCGCTAGGGCGGAGTCGGCAGATACAACCGTTCCATCCTTCTTCAGTAACTGTTGTCCAGTTAAACAATCCATATTCTCTCTAGAACAGTCGAAATCATTTTTTATCCATTTTATTTAGTTATAATCAGAAAGACTCGGAATTAATTTACAGTTAATCAGATGACTAATCTAATTTTACAATAATGAATGTATGATGAAACGATTGATCACAAAATAACCCTGGTCCTGGCATTTCCAAAATGTGGTCTGCCTTTTTAAGCATTTTAAATTGCCTGAGATATTTATGCAAAGTCGCCTGTCAATTAATTCTGGGCCTTTTTTTAAGCCTGCAGAATTCAGTGAATTGAGTATTTTCTAGTTTTTGCTTTTTTTGGGGTTTGAAAATATGTGTCAATGTCTTTTCAAGTCTTTTCAATGGCAGGAATATGAATCATATGCTTTAAAGGAGTGTTAAGATCGAATCTGTAAACATAAACTTGAAGGATGAGAAAATAAAAATAAATAATTGTATATTATTCGTTCAAATTTATAAATTTTCATAGTTATGATCTCGTCAAAGATGTTTGAACGGAGAAAATCTATTCCGAACTGCAGGATTGTAAAGTTACGAACCTCGCAATATTTACTCATCAATTTTTGATTTTTGAATTTTTATTTTTTTTATTATTATTTATTCAAATCTAGACTTATTATTCTAATTATCTACATATTACACTACAAGAAATAAAAAAAATAGAATTGTAAAAATTTTTGATATTCCCATAAAATGCGTCGGGGGGGATTTGAGGGATGCAGAACCTAATATGTGGGACAAACAAGAAAACCCTTATCGGTCACTACAAAGGTTCGGAATAAAATATGTGGGATTTATGTCGTAACCCTCTCCACCCTAACTTCACTTAGGTTTATAAACTGAAAATAGAATCTGAAAATAAACTTGAAAGTTGTATGTTGTATGTTGACCGCATACTATCTCCTTCTGCAATGGAAATTAGAAAGCTAGCTTTCTATCTCAAGCTCCTTTGTTAGTTAACCCATAGGAGACTTCAGCGACGACTTTACCAAATTAATAATGTTTGTTTTCTTAAAACCATGATTCCTTGCAACTTTGTCAAAACATTAAAAACTTTATTTAACTCTGGATCATCACATATGAAGGATTTCAGATCGTCTTTATAGTCTTATTCTTTGTGGTAAACCCTGTATCATTATCTTTACAGACAATTTATCATATTTTTATATGAAGTAAAGCTTCGATCAATGTACAGGGTTCCCCACAAAGTATGAAACCTCAGAGACGGGTTTTAACACTTTTTTTACTTTGAACTTCATATTTGATTGCCTATAGTTGTCCAATATGCCATTAAAAGTTTATATTTGAGGCACAAAAAAAACTACATAGAATTTTAGATCGTTCGAAGAGTTTCAGGTTGTCATTAGAGTCTCATCATTTATTCTATTATATATCCATGTGTACGTCCTCATTAGTGAGGTCCGATGAAGTGCGACCTTTTAACAGAGATTGTTGAAAATACTGCCACTTATTAAAAGGGTACATTGAGTCCTCCTCCCCCCCCCCCCCACTACTAATGTTGTGAATCTTTGGAGAAGATAAAATATCTTAAACTGTAAAGACGACTTAAAATTCTAAAATATGACAATTCTAATGTTAAATTAAGTCTTCTACCCTCCACTGTCTAGATTTCAATAGATAGCTTATTCAATAATCAAGCAAAGAGAGAAACAAAATGCAGGAAACTATGAGCCAGGAAATAGACCGTATCTGAAGTCTCATTCTTTGCGGGTAACCCTGTAACACTCGTCAAACTCTTAAAACTTTTGTGAAATTGTTCTAACTGTGCGTCTTTTGGATTATCTCCTGTCTCTTCGTACGAATAAGAAACCTTGCAATTTTTGGATGTAAAGTGTTGTTTTAGAATACTGTAATGTCTTGAAAATGTAATTTAATATGTCCGACGAAAAATTACAGTTGGTGAATAGTTTAAAATGTCAGCTTCCATATTTTGTTAAGTTATTTGATACCAAATAGAATAAAAAATATTAAAAAATATTAGAGTCTAATGCGAATATATCAACATAATTAAGGCTACTTTTATTAAGGGTTTGATTGCTAACACACTTTTTTCGTAATACAAGTTTACAAGTAATCAAAGAGAAGCTTTTTTAATTGACAGCTTTTCTTGACTCTCATGTTTATATGTATCTGATATCTATAGCTAACAGCTTAATATAAATTGAAATCGAAAGTCGTCATTTGTATTGATGTAAAATTGTAATATTTATTTCAAAGTAAAATATTAAAAGATTTTCTTGAAGAAATGAACTAGTGAAACTATTTGATTTGCAACATCAAGTACACTAAATTATTGCTTTAATGTCGTCTTTCTTTTCTACAGTTTTCTGGATCTCAGAAACATTATCAAACGCTAGATCTATACTTTTACTCATATAGATATCATAATAAATAGTATTTAAGATTACACGTGAACAAAGTAAATATATTTCAAAGATTAGTCAACAATTAACAAATATCACAAGTAAACAGAATAAATGAGGTTTAGAGATAAGAAAATAAATGTTAACATGAAAATTAACGACTGGATCAGGACGGATTAAGGTTCAGCTATTCTCAGGGATCTATTTCATCCAGTTAATCCTCTCCTTATCAGCAGCTCCTGCTCCTGCAGCAACCTTGCAGACCTCTATTTTTCCTGCTCCTTCAAGGACAAGATGCTCCCCCTCTCTCTTAAGTCCTGTCAGGTTCTCTAGGATGGATGAAACCTCCTGTTCAAGCTGAAGAAGATGTGGAGGAGGCATCATTTTGGTACTCATAACAGGACCTGGAGTAAACTTCCCATCAGTCTCTGTTACAGTGCAGGACATTGAGTTCCCAACCTTCGCTCCAACTCTCCAGGTTTTATCTCCGGTTTTCTCCACCTGTAGTTTAAACCTGCCCTCCCAGTTTCCTTCAATACTATTTCCTGCTCCTGCTGAACCCTTGAGTGAGTCTAGGCTAGGGAGAACTCCTGAAGATATTTCAACACCTTGTCCTTCTTTATCCATACTTACAGCAGGTTTCAGCTCCTCCCCGCTCCACCCGGAGATATCAAATGCAACTCCTAGTCCTTCCCCGTTCTTGGAGAAGGCGATATTTACCTTATCTCCGTCCTGCTCCAACCTCATTCCAATAACATCTCCGTCTCCGAACTCTGGTCCCCAGTGTCCTGTTACTAGACTGTTTCCATCACTCAGGTTTCCAGGTCCTCCGTAGAACAGTCCTTTCATACCATATCCCGGAGCAAACCTACTCTCTCCAGATACTCCCACCCAGGTTCCGCTCACACCGGAGATCTTGAACTCCCAGAACCCGGTCCCACCCACACTCCACAATGCATTTCCCTTTGATCCTCCTTCTCCATTATACTGGACTTTAGCTCCGTTTACTGAAAGTTTATCTGTTCCGTCCTGTTTCCACGACATGTTTGATTCTTACTGGTGTTTTCTGCTTCTTAGTTAGAACTGATATAGAATAGTCTGGGTGAGGTGAGTAATGTTCTGTAATCTGTGTACACTTGACTATCTGAGTCAGGTCGGAGCTATGACGATAATCAGCTGTTCTCTTACTAAGCCGGCCGTGGTGGTGTAGATATATAGAGAGACAGAGCATGTTTATTTTATGAATAACACCTTTCCCCTCACGGATATACAATATGTAGATAGAGAGACAATAAATTATATCAGAATTCCTATTACTAATGTTCAATTAACCTACATTCTACATATAAATATTAATATATATGCCTTCTCAATATATGCCTTTGTACGTATATATGAAGCAAACTCCTTTTTTCCGTCTGTACGATATGGGTTCGAAAAACTTAAAGTATATATAGCAATAAACTTTTGGAATCCATATTCAACCTAAAAATAGGTATTTTTATAATTTTTAATCAAGAGTTTTCCGACCTTTTATATTAGATACTAGCTGAAGGGATACTAGCCCGTGGGAAAAAAATAAAAAATAAATAAAAATATGTAGAAAAAAAAATAATTTAAATTTTTTTAGCCTATAACACCTCCTGGCCACCCTTGAGTGTCCACAAAAAATTTCAGCCCAATCAGTCCAGCCGTATGGCCGGCTATAGGCAACATATATATATATATATATATATATATGCGAATGTCTTTTTTATATAGATTGAAATAGCTGGGATTGAAGTTAGACGTAATTATAACAGGGATTCGGTTTAAATCCAAAAAAACGAGTTGAAAACGAAAAGTATTGATGTTTACTCTAAGGTCAGTTTCCAAATATGCATACTTGCATTCACGTACGTGTTACTTATATTTTCTAACGATAACTCTGTAATTCCTCATTCTCTGAGTTCAAAGTTTACATAGTATAGATCTACATAAAATAAATGATAATGCTGTGTAATATGTACAAGTGTTAAAAATCAATAGATCAATAATCTATTATTATCATTGTATAATATTCCTACGAGCAATATTAGATTCATAAAATAAAATAAAATTATGATATATTATGCTTAGACTAAAAAAGCGTTTCATAAAAAATGATGAGTTTAGACTGAGTTGACTTATGAGAGTATTAGCATAAACCCAGTTTAGACTGAGTTGACTTATGAGAGTATTAGCATAAACCCAGTTTAGACTGAGTTGACTTATGAGAGTATTAGCATAAACCCAGTTTTGCCTTAAAGCAAAGTTTTCTTTACAAGAGTCAACCTATTCAATTTTTAACCTATTCAATTTTTAACCTATTCAATTTTTAAACCAAGCGGTTTTCCATAGTTCCATATCAAAATCGGTCCAAGGGTCCTGAGTTGTGATCGGACACACACACAAACAAACAAAGATTACTACTACTATTACTATTACTATTACTACTATTATACTGGCTTGGGAACCCACCGTTGCCCAGGGTACTCACGGGTCTCCCGCCATTTAACAGGATTTGGTTGATTTTTACCGGGAAACTAAATTTTCGCTATAAAAGTGGACCCACTCATTTTCCCAATACAAATTTGAGGCAAATCAGTTAAGGGGTTCCTGAG